CCCCTGGACACACGCACACGCAGTGCCGCCTTCGCTGCGCCAGTCCAGCCGGCCCGCAGCACCGGCCTCGCCCCCGGCGGGGTCACCGCGTCGCCCGGAGGGGACCGAGAGGAGCTGGCGGGCGGCCCGGGACGCGCCACTCGGCTCTCTTCAGCCCCACCCCCCACTCACCCAGCCGCGGCCGTGACTCAATGCCCGGTGACGTGGGGCGGCCCAACTTTACGTAACCCGCCCGGCGCCCCACGCTGCCCACACAGGGTCCACCTGGGGCGCAGAGGCCCAGGCGTGGGGGGTGTCCAGTCGGAGTGCCCCCCAAAGGGCGCTGGGCCTGCAGGCCACCCCCACCGTGCCCGTCTCCGTAACTTAGTTCCCGGACCCTTTTTGACTTTTGATCGAGGACTTCGCCCTGGGAGAAAGCAGTGGGGACCTTGGGCCGGGGTCAGAGGCTCAGGTGGAGGCTGGGGGCGCAGAAGGCAAGGTCAGGGCTCAGGCTGGGCGCCCTCAGGGGTTGGGACACCCCATGTATGGAAAGAGCCCCAAACGGGAGGCAGGAGATCCGGGCCGGAGGCCTGGCTCTGCCATGGCTCGCTGCCTGGTCCTCGCCTAGCCTGCCCCTTGCTGGAGAATGGCTGACAGCACCTGCTTCCCCTAGTGGCTGGGAGTTTGCGGGCTGGGAAGTGCCGTGCACCCCAGGCTCTAGTAGACTTCACCCTCCCGCCCCCTCCCAGGAGCCAGGGGTGTGGACACCCTGCAGACATCATGTTTGGGTGGAAGGTAGCGTCCCGCCCCGCCCCAAACTCACCCTGCCGGGCTCTCGGCCTGCATTCCCCTCTTCCTTACAGATGAAGGCGCAGTGACAGACCCGCGTCTGCTAGGGGATCCCGTGCAGGAACCAGGTAGGTCTGAGTCCAGAGCTCTGCCCCTGCCCTGCCTGGGGGTAGACTCTAGGGTCAGGGGTCAGAGGACAGGTCAAGGTTAGGACGGATTTGTCCTACAGAAAGGACTGGGCTACAGAAAGGGTTTGGCTCCACTTGAGATGTGGGTCAGCTTTCCTACCCCCCACCTGGCCTTTCTCTGTTGGGGTCCCTGGGCTGGGGTGGGGGTAAGGTTTCACAGTGGTCATGGGGGTGGGAGGAGCTGCGGGCAGAGGCAGGTCTCCTAGAGATGCCAGAGAACGAGGGGGTTTCAGGTCAGGCGCAGCTGGAGCAGGAGGTGGGAGGTGGTTGGGGTCTGGAGGAAAGGGAGCTGTGAGGAGTGCCTGGCAGGGCCGGTGAGGCTGGAGGTGGGTACAGTGTCGGCCCTGTGAGGGGTGATCAGATCCCTCTTGGGCCCTCCGGTTTCCCCTGGCGGTGGGGACAGGGGCCCAGGCGCCTCACCGTGTCCCCTCTGCCTGTAGGTGGTTGGCCGCGGAGCCCATGCCGTGAGCCCGGCGTGGCCCCGCCAGCATGCC